TCCCATAAAACCTTTCCTTTTTTTTACCCACCACATCAAATCAACTGTTTGAGTCCATGTGACTTACATGGGGGGGGGGGAGGAGGAATGTACTATCATGCGTGTTTCCCCTTCTATTTAAGGTTTCTGTTGTTATTTATAGAAGACTGAGGGATTCTTGAATTTCTGAGAGATAAAGATGATCTCAGTTTTCCAACCAGACTGTAGTTGCTGATACTATAACTAAAAAAATACTCAGCTAATAAAAATATTCTAAAAGCATAACTGATTTAAGCTTATTACCAAAATATCTTAAAAGTCTCAATAAAACACTTTCTCATCATGTCCTTTCTACATGTTTCTGTTCTCCCTTTTTCAGCCTTCTTGCTGTGCTTGGGCTGTCAGAAACCTAGGTGGTTTCCACATTAACCAACCAATTTACCAGGAAAGAATTCCACTTTCAATCATTTTCTAAGATCTGACTTATCTGCGATCTCTCCTGTGCCCAGTGCTCTCTTTTCATAACTCAGGAAATTCCTCGGCGCCTGCCAAAGCCTGCCATTCTCTAACACGGCCAAGCGCCAGCTGAATTCTTCAGTTGCAGGGTAAGCCTGAAAAATTCTGCACTGAGGTCTCGTTTTGTTTTGTTTTGTTCTCTCAGATCACATTATCTGGACCATGATATATTTTATTTTAATGATCAATTAAAAAAAAAAAATCTAGCTGAATATTAGGTTAATTGGGGTACGAAAAATCTCCCTGCCTTGCAGAAGCTCCGTCAACCATGAGGAAGTTTTGCACCAGTAAGGATTATTCCCCCCATGCCCACAGGGTTGCTAGGCAGCTTTTTCTTTCAGCACTTATTATGCTCTGGATGCCACATTTAACAATCTACCTTCATGCCAGAGCCAACTCCTACCCCAGGCCGGAGATTCATCTCTGTGCTGCGGCAAATGGGTACAGCGGTGGTCCCCAAACTGTAGTCTATGAGACAGTATAAGTGGTCTGCAAAGGGTTCACAAAACCAATGCACTCTGGGCGCAATTCTTCCTTTTTCAATGAAAAGTTTTGTAAGAAAGATGCCTAGTGGTGCCCAGGGAATACTGAAGGTGTTCTGCTCTAAATATAAATAACCGGATGAAACAAGCAAGCTGAACACTAAAGGTCATTACAGACTTTGGATTTACTTTATTTATGGCCAGTCTCATGCTGCTTTACCTGGAGTGCAGATCTCCAGCCCAGCTCTACTCAGCCACAGATGCTCCCCTCTGAGCTCCCATCTTCCAAAACATTGATCTTCCAAAACTTTAAGCACGTGTTGAATTGTTACCATCTGAGTAGTTCCATTTAACCTTGTCCATAAAAGTGATCTGCGTTTCTAAAGGGAAAAGGAAGATCTGCTAGACTACCTATTGCTCAGCAACAAAAATTTGGCCCAGATGATAATAGGAGCATTAACAGGGCAGACTAATCCTACAGCAGCTATTGTCAGTTTCTTCAATACTTTTTTCTTTTTCTTTTCCATCTTTCAGGGGGGTCTTCTCCCTCCCCCATCTCTTTTTAAGATTTTAAAATGTTGGCATCGCATATCCCGACAGCTCCATTCAGTGGCTTCGTGTGAATTCATTCCAAGACATTCTTGGCTCATCTCTCTCTGACATCCATGTCAGCAGCTAGCCAGCCAAAATAAGGCTACTCACAAGTACTTTCCTTTTTCCTTTTTTAACCAGTGTGGAAACCAGCATCGTATATGCCCCCTGTCACAGACACAAGGTCTTTTCAACCAGGGTACATCTTAAGCATACAGTTTCTTGCATCGCAGCATCTCCAAGGTTCAGCTTCCTTATCCACTCAGGTAGCAAATGCTCCATTCAGAGTCTCATTATTTAACATCGGGGTTAGTGCAGCAACCTCCTTCCCTGTTGGACGAGCATATTCAAGCCTGGTCTCCACCAGCTCAGGTTCCTGACGCTAGTGCCCTTCGCCCACATCACATCTCCATTCCTTCATTTGCTCCCTTCTCCCTTGGGCACTCACAGACCCCTTGTCACCATTTTCGACAACCTCACCCTTCCTCTTGCCTTCATTATCAGCACGCCCCCTTTGTTCCCCAATCACATACTGGTGCCAGCCTGCATCTGTCCAATTGCCAAGGGAATTGCCTTTCTGCCCTGCAGCTCCCAGCCCTTAGAAAGAGCTCCCAGTAAACATCCTCCATCTAATGTGCCTTTCTTCTACATCTTCCTTGAAACCAGTTGACAAAACCTCAAGGACAAAGGTTAAATGGGCTGCTGATCCACTGGCAGCTGCTCCTCTCAAACACATTATCATGGCCCCTGTTGTTTCCGAATGCCCCCCCTTTTGGTCTACAAGCTGCCTTCGTTTGCCAGCTCTTCTGGAAGAGGGGCATCCCTCCCCTCACACCTTACAGACACAATTCCTCATAGCTACCCTAATACAAATGTTTCTGAGCCCTGTTAATCTCATAGTGAGTCATAATGACTAATTTCCTACCATCCTTCAATGTTGTACAAAGTCAATTGTCCAGCTGGGGTCCTGCCCACTCATCACAGGCTCTCAACCCTTCCAGTGACTTGCTACATTGTTCGAGGTCTTCCTCTCTGTTTGGACCATCCCTCTTGCCCCTGATTACACCATTCTTCCTCTTCCCACTGGCCAATGACTTCCCATTTAGTAAAAAGGCAAAACAAAGTTAAGAGGTATAATAATCCTATAACATCCCAGACACCATTAAAGACCAGTTTAAATTTTCTAAGCCTGACTAGTAACTTTGGTCACCTACATACTATGGGCCTGAATAAGACCGTATTTTCACGAGGTGCTCACCATCCATGTCCTGCAAATATCACGTCAGGAATCCAAGACACTGAAAATCCACCCCAGTGGTAGCACACAAAACAAGAATAGCCAAATAACCCCATTGCCTAAGCAAAGACAAGTCACAAAGCAATGTAAGGAAGAGCTTCCAGACAGAGTGTAAAAACTAATTGGTATGTATTCTTTCCAAGATCCAATCATACACACATACTACAAGGAGTATTGCTGGCTGCTAAGTGTAACTACATTTAAAACCACAGTGTTTCAAGATCCGGATGAAAAGCAGATTGAATGTTGGCACATTACAGAAACTTTTAAAATAAATCAATTTTAAAATTGCAGATTGCAAGAAAGATGAAATTGGATTTAAATATAGGAAAGCAAGTATTTGCATGTAGCTCGTGCTCACACCACAACAGCAGCTATAACTGCATACACAGAACTTATACTTTAGCCTTGCTATATCAGTGTTTGAAAGTGCTGAAACACACTGACAAAATAATGATTGTGTCCATATTTTAAGGTGTAATTTAAGAACAGAATACACAAATGTTTCTGCTGATGTAGAAAAAAGGGTAAGATCTGCAGCCAGCATAACAGTAGAACTTCTGAAGATTACTGATTAGACAAAAAAAAAAAAAAATCAGTGCATACTGGAAGAAGATAATATTGAAAATTACACAGAGGATTGATTTGACTGTCTCTTCTCTCAGCAGCTCAGACCATATAAAGAAGATACAAATGGATAAAAGACATCTCATGAAATCCTTACTATTCCAAGCAAGTCCTAGTTTTTCCTCTAAGTGTTTGCTGTTTCTCCAGACTACAAAACAGACCCAATTCACTCACCTCCATCCCTTTGCTCTAGATATATTAAAAACAATGCATGATGTAAACCCTTCACAGTAGGGCCTCAGCTGCATAACACACATTAATTCTTCTCACGGTATTTAACGAAAATTATTTATTTTTATGGAAGGCTCAAAGATCACTTCTAGGTAGAGAAACCAGAAATCACTCTCTTTAACAACCAACATGTTATACTTACGACCTTCTGTGCAACGTGATGGCAATACCTTATACTGGATTATACAACTCAAAGATCCATTGTCAGTAAGTTTTCTTATTGAGGAGAGAAGAGTTCAGCAAGTTACAACACTGCCTGCTGTTCTCAGAAAACAAACAGTTTTTTACCATTTTTTTAATAACAGGAGTTTCACTAAATTATTAAACATATTTTGCTAATCTCTATAAACATATATTTCTAATCTCTATAAACATATTTTTCCATCTCTACTAACCTGTTTATCTCCAAGACTCATCTCTCCATTTTATAGGGGTGCTATATCTTCCTCATGGTAACATGGATGAGAAATACTTCATTGGGAAATATCTTCTTAGTACAACACAGCCCTAAATCAATCAGACAGGAACTTCTGTTTTGCTGTCCTGCCTACCCCTTTCTGCTACGTCGATGTGGGGCTACTGCCATAACATACACCTTTTCTCCCCAGTAGGACTATCAGTTTGACACCACATTCATCATTTGCCACAAAAAGCCTATGGAAGAACACTCTCTACTCCTTCCTGTGTTTCCTGAAAACTAACTCTTGGTGGCCATAGAAGGCAGCAGCCTCATTTCAGACTTGTTTCTGCATTCCCAGATCCCCCACTTGACACTTCCCTCAGGAGCCTTTATATCACAGACAAAACTGCACAGACCCACAAAGACCCACTTTTTTTCACCCCTTCTCTCTCACAGACAGAATGAAACATCAAAACTGTTTAGGAAGAGGTTTGATAGGTAACGAGGGGACAAGTTTAATTTCCCTTCTCCTTTTTATTTTTTTACCTTTTTTAAACATAAGCATTTGTAGACATGGGGCTCTAATAAGACAGCAGAGCATGACAAGACAAGTAACTGTGCTTCAGTTTGGAAATACAACTGCTGCTCTAATCCACCTACATCAGTCAGTGATGTTAGGGAAGAAGTGATGACACCTCCATCAGAGCAAGCCGTACAAGCCCACCAGCATCCTGGCTGCTTCTTTAGCCATTTAATTCACCCCAGCACCTGTGCAACCATGACAGCTTCTTCACCGACTGGCACACCAACACATGCTGCAGACACACCTCCCGGGTGACTGCACTGAGCACACAAATCACGGCAGCACACACAAGGTGTGGTAGTGTGACAGGAAAATAGAATTCCTTTAAAAAGCAGGACAAAAAAGCCCCGCCTCCCTGCAACCTACTTCAGTTAGTCCTGCAACACAAATACTCACTTTCATGATGCCACCTGTAAAAGACCTGGGACCTGCACACGTTTTCAGCTTGAGCTCACAGTCAGGTCTGGCCTCTTGCCTGACTCTTGCCCCACAGTCACTTCTGGCCGAGTTAGGCTGTATCTCACAGCCTGATCGCCCCAAGCGAAGAAAAGGAGAAGAGGAACAGGCTGCTTGCAGCACGTTGCATGTTGTGGACGCTTATTGCGTAATGCTGAAAACAAAGTCCCTTAGCTACTGACCACGCTTGAAAATACCGCCCATAGCACAGCCACTCTCACTCATGGAGTTAATCCCACAAAGGGCACAAGCTTCAGCTAATTGAACACAACTCCAGCACTCAGTACAAGGACCCACAGTCTCAAATATCAACAGGTGTTGCGTTCTTATTCAAAATATTTATTTAGCCAGATTCCTGCTATTATTCCCAGGCCAAGACGGTCCCATAAAGCAGGGCCAAGATGGGATTGGATTCAGCAAGCTGCCTGAGAGCTCTTTTAAGAGCACAAACATTACTTCAGCATATAAGCTAAGGAAAGAATGGCACAGTTGGAGCCTCTTGACTAATTCTCCTGTTTATATCCAAATAAGAGAGCACTGTGGAACCTCGCTCTCCCCTTGGCAAGCTATGAATTTCACTTGGACGCAGCCAACCCCTATAGATGGGACCTTGTGGCTACCCTGCAAAAGATTTTGGCCAGCAAGGGTACCAAGGACACGCGGTTGAAAGCGGACTAGAAGCACAACAACGGTTTGTGCATTGACATCTTAGGGAGGATGAAGTGCTTGCCTAGGCAGAATGAAAATAAGCCTCCTTGAGTGTGAGGAAGGGCCCGCTCAAGCCTCCCACAGGATGCAGGCGTCCAGGAGCCACAGCAACTGGCAATGCCGTGTAATGAACGACAGCCTCATGGAGAAAATGCAATTCACGGTCCCCAAGTGAGCTTTGAAAATGGGTGGCCGTGTCCTCTCATCTGGCCCTGAGCGTGACCACCTCAGACAGGCCTCAGGCCAAGCACCCCCATGTCCACCGTGGAGGTGACCAGTGGGGACAGCCCAGGCCCATGTCACGGCCTCTCACACCCATGGCAGCAGCCCCTCACACCCACATTGGGCCCTGGCCCCACACCGCATCTCCTGGGCTCGCCACCCCTCTCTTCTCGCTGCCCCCGGCCGGGCTGGGCCGCCCAACTTGCCTTGAGCTGGGACTTGGAGACCTTCCCGCTGCGGTCGAGGTCGAGGGCGGTGAAGGCGTGCCAAATGGACTTCAGCAGCTCCTCCTTGAGGCCCACCATGG